CCTTCTGGGTGAAGTCTACAGCTCCATTCCTGAAAGCCATCAATGTTTTGTTTATTAAAAAAAGAAGAAAGAGGGCTGGCCAAGTGGCTCAGTTGGTAAAGAGGTCACTCAAGAGTGCGAGCTCTGAGCAACAGGGTCGCCGGTTCGACTCCCGGCCCGAGCTGAGCTGCCGCTGAGCTGTCAACAGGTGGCAGGATGGCTCAGCTAAAAAACAAAACAAAACAAAACAAAACAACAACAACAAAAAGAAGAGGCCTCCCCTGCCAGTATGAGAGCACTAGAGCAAGCAGCACGGGCTACGGGTCCAAGATGGACTCATGCTGACTGTGTGTGACTTCAATGAGCTGCTTTGCTTCTCCTGCATTTTATTCGCCACATATAAAATGAGGCTGACCACAGACAGGGCAAGGTCATGCATAAATGATGCTGACAATGGGGAGCATGTTTCTAATCCTGAGGCTAAAGTTTGAACGGCGGGTAACAGGGAGGACTAAGGCCCTTGGCCCTCTGGCCACCAGTGTGCTTCTGATCCACCCGAATTTGCCAAATAGAACCTGACTTGTTTGGAAATCACCCAAGGCCTGATGTGTGGAGAATGAGCTGAGGTAGAACAAGAACTGATGTTGGAGGCAGGGCAGAGGCTGTTGTGTAGTTTAGAAATGTGTTGCCAGTAGATTGGCCCAAGGCAGTGGAGTTGAAGGCGTTGGAAGCAGAGGTGACTGGACATCTGGGATGATGAAGCAATGACAGTTACCCTCCGTGGGCCAGCAGGGCTTTTCCTGTTCCGATTCTGGGTACGTGCCCAGGAAACACGTGTTTAGGGAATAAATAAAGCTGACGGCTAATGTTTCTGAGTCGAAGGCAAGACTCATCCTTGTCCTCATGTCAGTTACCGGGACATATAAGGGATTTAGTGCATTAAGCAATTAGCCTCCTCTCATGTATATGTTCTGAGGTTATGCATGGGAATTCCACCATTTTAACTACATAAGGAGATATAGTCATGTCTTATACAGCTATTGAGCAGTTATTTTAATCAAATCCTCATTCCTTCTCTCATTGAAGATCTTTATCTGGGTTCAGCCTTGTTTATTATATTTAGAATTTTATTTCCTGTGGGTTTATTTTCCATTATATTTATCTATTTTGGCTTCAAATAGTCTTACATCAGAGTTTCTTAAAAGACATTTTTAATGGTGTATAGAAGTTTAGTTTGGGGAGGGGAATGATTGAAGAGGGTAAAGAGGATCAAATATATGGTGATGGAATAAGAGCTTACTCTGGGTGGTGAGCACACAATGTTACATATAGATGATGTATTATAGAAATGTACACTTGAAACCTATGTAATTTTACTAACCATTGTCACCCTGATAAGTTAAAAAAATAGCTTGGTAGTTATTTCTTCTGCACAAAAATTGTTCTTGCCCACCTAATTGTCAAATGGCATTTGGTAAGTCACCTTTCTTTTCAGATATTTGTAAGATAGCTAAATGGAATTGCATATATCTCTGTATACGTAATAAGAAATATTATGTTGTAAAAAAAAGTGTTATTCACTGGGTTGGACACTATTACTGATTACACAGGCAGAAATGCTTTCTGAGATAACCAGACACAAATATTGTCCATGAGCTTCAGTGGCGACCAATATTCCCCACTTCATGTTCCACGTCATGGCCCTGTCTGAACTTTTCTGTTATTCCTGACTCAAAATGCTGAGGCTCACAAAACTAACGCTACAGCAGGGGTCGGCAAACTGCAGCTCACGAGCCACATGCAGCTCTTCGGGTACGTTCCGTCTCAAAAGTTTGCCGACCCCTGGAAAAGCCAATCCTGTCCCTCACAAGAATTTAAAAATTATTCGAGAGCCATAAATATATTTTTACATAGTCACCATTATGTGAATATCCTTGAAAATTTTTATAAATGAAACTATGATAGTTTTATTTTCATTTTCAATTTTACTTCAGAGCCTGCGGTTCACGAGCCGCATTTTGCTGACCCCTGGCGGCTCTTCTGTCTCAAAAGTTTGCCGACCCCTGCTTTAGTGCTTCGGGCTATGTGTGTTTATTTGATAACAGTATATTAACTTCCAGCTATAGAGTTCTGAGTGACATCAGCATACAGTGTGTCCACTTGATTTTTTGGTTAGCATTCGTTGCATCAAGAAGCCTGAAACAATATGTTTCTAACTATTTCTGTGATAAGTTACAGACTACACTCACCGGAAATATAGGTGCGGCTCCTTTAAGAGGAAGCGAAGCTCCGCCCAGTCCTCAAGACTAAACTCGCCCTTTCCAAGCGCCGCCAGTTCTTTGGTTGGGCGTTTACTCTGGAGGTAGCTAGGGATGCACGTCTCTATCCTTGCTGTGGAAACTACATTACCCCGGGGCCTCGGCGGCGCTGAGCCAATGACAGATCAGAAAAGGGGCGTTTTCGTTCGTGCAGAAAAGGTGAGGGCGGGACTTCCTGTTTCCTTCTTGGGCGGACATTTTGTTTGCTTTTTGGATTAATCTACATCATCCGTCTCCGGGACGCAGTGTCATACCAGAGTTGACACGAGAGGGGAACGCGAGAGGAAGCTGTCTCCCCTGAACAAAGGCGGGCCTGAGGATCTGCTGTGGTGCCACCCGTACGACCCTGCCGTCGGAGCCCGGCTACTCGCACTTGTCTCCCGCCAATTATCCTTTCTCCTCTCTTTCCCTCCCCGCATCCCGCCTTCCCTAATCCACAGCATCGGGTGGCGGAGGCTGCACTGATGAACCCGGCGCAGGTGGGTGCTGCACCCCCAGGTCCTCCCCCGACCTCCATCTCTGAATCCTAAAGCCTCGAATGAGGGCCTCCCAGGCCCCTGTGTCCGGATATTCGGATTTCATTTCTGACAGCCAGTATTTTGGGATGTGGAAGGGACGTCCAGGCACAGGGCCCAGCATGTGCACAAGCTTGGAGGTGCAACACAGCCGGAGCATTTGGGAAACCTGGGGCCTTGGTGTCCGACAGGATCAGAGAGCGTGAGGAGTTACGCCTAGAATGTTACCTGTGCCTTCATTCTGAGGGTGATGGGAACCATGGAAGGTTATGAACAAAGGAGGGGCGCGACCTGAGGGTTTTAATTCCATAGACTGCTCGAGAGAACACACTTGGAGTGGGGGGTGGGGTGGGCTGGTGGTGAGGAAAATGAGGCACAGGAAGATTGAGACCTATTCCAAGGTGACACAGCCATTAGGTGGCCCTGAGGACTGAGGCGCAGAAGGTAGACAGCCCCCAGGTCTTTGTGGTATGGCAGGAGTAGGGGACAGACATGAGTCCTTGAGGCTCCCTGGTGGTTTCTTGTCTCACAGTTTCCCTCTTCCCACAGGCTCCCATGAACTCGGAAGTAATTATGGACCCTATACAGGTGAAGGGAGGATGTCAGTGCTCTCATCGATCCCATCCCAACCCCACCCACATGGTCTCCATGATTGTGGTGTCATAGAATACGTCACTTGTATTCTCTCAGCTCTTGAGTCTGAAGACCCTGGAGAAACCCCAAACTCAGGGTTCTGAGTCTGGGCCAGGGGTTATATGGAAGGGTTCTCCTTTCTGGTAACCATTGGAATAAGGTGTGGAAGGTTGTTCCAGGCACAGGAACCAGCATGTGCAAATACTTGGAGTTGAGACTGAGATGGGAGTTTTCACAAAATTACAGGCCTCCACCATGTCTGGTAGGAATCAAGAGCAGGAGTCAGGCCTGAAATGCCCAGCTGATGAGGTAGGCCTCTGTTCTGAGAGTGGTGTAGCAGGTGTGGGCAGAGGAGGGAGGTAATCTCATCCAGGCTTTAACAGGCTCCCACTGGATGCTAGGTGGAGAACAGACTGTGTGGTGAGTGTTGAGGAAGTTACGGTGGAGTCCAGGGAGGAGGCTGCTTTAATATTCTAGGTGAGTGGTAATATTGGATGAGCCAGTGGGGTCGCTGTGTAGGTGGAGAAGTGATTGGATCAGATTTTCTGGTGTGAAAGAAAGAGATAACCCTAGGGTTTTACACCTGTCAGCTGGAAGGGTAGAAGCTCCATCAGCTAGGTGGGCATGTCACGGGTAGAAGTAACTCTGTGGATATCAGGAATTTATATTTGTGACCATATGAAGAGTCTGAGAAGTTCCAGAGAACACTGTGTGGAGGTGTCGAGTGAACTGCTGGACACAGGACTGAAGCTCTGGTGAGGTTCGGGATGTAAGGTTCGGGATGTAGATGTCCAAGGGTAGACGATGGCATTTAGATAGGTTTAGGAGGGAGAATCTACAGATCACAATGGCAGTGCAACTAGTGAGCCAGGAAGGTGATGGTGGAGACTAGCGACTGGGTGCGGGGCCAGAGTTGTGAGACAGAATGATCCAAAAGAGTGATGTGCATGTGGGAAGGAGTATGAACTGATGGTCCCTGAGCCCTGGTATCAGGGGCTTAAGAGAGAAAGGTGAGTTCAACTTTGGTTGTCCAGTTAGCATGATCTCAGCAACCCCAGGAAAACTGGCTGCGAGGAAGGAAGTGGAGCGTGGCCCTACATTTCAGGTCCAGAGCTTAGGTACTGTGTCTTCTTGCCCACCTGTCTGTTTGTTGTTGTTGTTGTGGTTGAACACAGTGATCAAAGGACCACGAGGAGAGAGCAGACCCTGTGGCACCTGGTCCTGGCATTTCCTCTGAGTTGAGTTAGAAAGGAATGAAGAAGGGGACATGGATGGGTGTCCTTGGGAGAGAGGCTGCTAATGGACTCAGCTCTCCCCATTGTGGCAGGGTCAGGTGACCTTTGAGGATGTGGCCATGTACTTCTCCCCAGAGGAATGGAGGCTCCTTGATGACACCCAGAGGCTCCTGTACCGCGATGTGATGCTGGAGAACTTTGCACTTACGGCCTCGCTGGGTAAGACTCACACCCGCCTCAGTGTACTGGACTGGGCTCTGCCCCTCCCTGTTTCCCAGGGGCAGCCTGGCCCTTCCTTCATCAGAGCCATGAGCTCTACCTCCCTCCCCAGTTAGCATAGCACCTCCCTGGAGTAGGTGCTATGGATGCCCCGTGTGAGCTGTGTGCACTGGCACCTCTGACTCCTGAGCAGTCCCAACACCTCCTGCCCCAAAGGTTTGCATGGATGGACCTAGGAGTGAGGGATCTTACAGACACCCAGTGGATCACATACTGCTTGTCCTCACCCTGACTGGGTGCCTCTGTCCAGACCCATGGCACCCTTGTTCCCCAGGTTCTGCCCCCTTCTCCTAGCTGACATTTCTGATGGCCTTTCTGTGTCGGGAATTGCAGGGACAAGCATGATCACTACTTCCTAGCACCACTGGACTTTTTATAACATTTAGTTCTCTTCTTTGAGGGCTGGGCACCCAGACCAGTGCTGCCCGTTTACCTGTCCTGTCTTTTCCTTAGAATATGCATTTTCCATGTCCTGTGGGGTTGCCCCACTGGAGCTGGACAGCAAACCCTGGGTATCTGACTGGGCAGATGTGACTCCAGCCATGACTAGAGAGGCTCAGGGTGGGTGTGACCCTGGTGAGTGGGAGCTGGGGAAAAGTGTCATGTCCGGGTTGGGTCTCAATCATTCCCCAACCTCTGTGCCCACAGTTGTTTTAGTGCCAAGGCCACTGGCCACACTTCATTTCTGTCTTTGCTTTCCCATTCACGCACTTGTCTTTTATGCTTTGATCTTTGGCCTCTGACTGTTCCCCACCTCTGCCTCCATATCTCACCTATCCCTCTCCCCTGCTTCCTCTGCAGTGTTCCAACATTGGCCTATATTTAATGTGTCATGAGATGTGCACGGACCCCAAATAGTCCTTAAACCAGCGATTCAGTTGTTCCCCTTCAGGGGACACACCCTTCTGCACAGCTGTCACCTGTCCCCAGCAGCCAAGGCCTCACTGAAATCCATTTGTGGTTGACTTCATTAGAAACCTGGCTTTTCTGGGCTGTACCCCACATTTGTGTTCTCTCTCAGTCAAGGCCTCTTCCCCTCTGTGAACCTTTAGAGGCCAATTGCTGCATAGCAGCCCTTTACTCGAGCTCAGGCCTCTTGTCCTGACAGCAGTCCTATGACCCTGTACTTAGTTCTGTTAGACACACAATATGTAACGAGACTGCTCCCTCCCACCACTGTCAATTTGTGCTTCATGAGAATTTGTCTGCTTTTAGGTTGCTGGCGTGGAATGGAGAATGAGGAGATACCTTCTGAGCATAGCGTTTGTATTGAAGGAGTGTCACAGGTCAGGACTCCCAAGGCAGGCCCTTCTACCCAGAATGCCCATCTCTGTGAGACATGTGGTTTGGTCTTAAAAGGTGTTTTGTACTTGGCTGAGCACCAAGAAACACACCCTGGACAGAAACCATACGTATGTGAGGAATGTGGAAAACAGGTCTGGCTCAATGCAAACCTTCACCACCAGAAGCAGCACAGTGGAGAGAAACCTTTCACAGGGGATGAGGGCTGGGACTTTCTTGTGAACAGTTGCCCGGTCCAACCATTGGAAATGTCCATTAGGACTGCAGAAGGTTGTAAGTACTTTCCAACTAGCCCAAGCGTTTTCCAGCACCAGGCCCCTCAAAGTAAGTGGAAGCCACAAAGTGACACCAACTATGCGGAGGCCCTTCACAGTAGACAGAGGCATTACGAGTGCAATGAGTGTGGGAAGGCCTTCAACCGCAAAGACTCACTTGTGCAGCACCAGAGAGTTCACACAGGAGAGCGGCCGTATGAGTGCAACGAGTGTGGGAAATCCTTCAGCCGCAAGCCCATACTCGTTCAGCACCAGAGAATCCACACTGGAGAAATGCCCTACGAGTGTGGCATATGTGGGAAAGTTTTTAATCACAGCTCCAACCTTATAGTACACCAGAGAGTCCACACTGGAGCGAGGCCTTACAAATGCAGTGAATGTGGGAAAGCCTACAGCCACAAATCCACACTTGTTCAGCATGAGAGTATCCACACTGGAGAGAGACCTTTTGAGTGCAGCGAATGCGGGAAATACTTTGGTCACAAATACAGACTTATTAAACATTGGAGCATTCATACTGGAGCAAGGCCTTATGAGTGCATTGCGTGTGGGAAGTTCTTTAGCCAAAGCTCTGACCTTATTGCACACCAGAGGGTTCACAATGGTGAAAAGCCCTATGTGTGCAGCGAGTGTGGGAAAGCCTTTAGCCACAAACATGTGCTTGTCCAGCACCATAGAATCCACACTGGAGAAAGGCCATACAAGTGTAGTGAGTGTGGGAAGGCCTTCAGGCAGAGGGCTTCCCTCATCCGACACTGGAAAGTTCACACAAGAAAGACCTTAGGATAGTGAAGAATGCCATCTCCTTGGTTCACCATACTGAGTGATGCCAGAGAGAAATTCTGTGAGTCGGCTTTGAGAGTAACCATCAGGCAGAAGTTGAACCTCATCTATTTGAACACCCACCCTGGGAGATTCTTCTGAGCGCCAGCTACATGGGAAGCTTACTGAAGCAGTGTTCCACTTTGTCACCTGCCCAGGACCCTTCCCAGAGTTCTGTCACTGCCAGTGTCTCTGAAATAAGCCATCCATCTATGCATAAGTCACCCCAACATACTTTAACAGAAGACCTGTGCTGCTCCTCCCCCAGAGGAGTCCTCAGTATTTTGAGCCCATTGAAGATCCTCACTCCTTCCTGCCCTGCCCCCAGCTGGTTTAAGGGTGCACATGCCCCAGTTTGGGCCAGAAGGATGCAAGCTTTGTTTTGCTGGCCACTTGTGGAGAAGGTTTCCAGCTTTCATGGACTTTGTTGGTCTCACGTGGCACTCGTGATGGATTTGTCTAGCCTCTAAGTCACCTAACTTGGGAATTGCCTGCCTCAACATTCTGGTTTTGCAACAAATGCCTTAGTTTATAAACTACCTTTAATCTTGGGGGTTCTGTTCACTTTGTGGGTTGGGGTGAGAACGGAAGTGGGCTCTGCCAAGATGAAGTCACCTTTTGTGAGAGCTCCAGCTTGTGTCTCAGTCTTGTGAACAGAAGAGCACACAAACTACAGCTCTCGTTCTAATTTCAACCTATCTTGCATTTGTGCTCAAAGCCTCCTGGAGACAATACCAACTTGTGCAGGCCTAATCTGTGGCTTGTATGCCCAGATTATTTGTGTGACCCTGAGCAGTGGGCACTTGTGACAATGTTCTGGGAGCAGCATGAATTGGGTCCCTTGTTCCCAGGGGATGTTTAATATTTCTGAATCCTCTTGATGATTTGACCCCCTGGGACCTGCCAACATCGCTGAAATCTATTATTCAGTAGGCAGATGTCACTATCCCCTAAAAGGACCAGGTAGAATTATAATTGGTAGAGACTGATTAATAGGGAGGTGGGAGACTGCAGCAAACTATAGGGAATGTGACTCTTGGAGGTGTGTCTACAACGCTTCCATGTGGCTTTGGTATGAAGGCTTACAGAAATTCTAGGGCTCCCATATTTGTGCCTCATGGCCGTGGTCTCTGTCAGCAATCAATCCAAATATCTTCTGCAATAAACTGTACATATTTGTACTACACAATTGGATGTTTCAATACACGTTTGCACCTGTGAAGCCAACTTTCCTGAATTCCTTTATAATCCCTCTCCTCCTCACCCGTTCCCACGCAACCACTCATCTTGCTGTTACTAGATTTGTTTGCCTTTCCTAGAGTTATATATATGTATATGGAATAATTTAATACTTGCTCTTGTGTATCTGGCTTCTTTGCACAATTATTTTGTGATTCATCGATGTTTTGTGTGTCAGCAGTTCATCCCTTTTCATCCATACTTTTGCTGAAAGTATTTCATTTCAGAGAAATAGTTCCAAAGCAAGTGACCCATAAGTGGTCACAAAAGATTGATACCACAATATCCATTTTAGCATTAACCTGGAAGTAGTATACAATCGTTTATGACATATTCTATGGCTAACACAGACTAATCTTGTACAAGGTGGAAGGGGACACCACAACAGTGAGAATACAAGGAGGTGGGGATTTGTGGGGGGCATTTCCTGGACACTGGTGAGCACAATCATAGTTATTTTAGTTTTTTTTTACCTTTTTAGTCTTTTAATGATGAATTACATTGATTTTCAAGTTAAACTAACCTTGTGTTTCTGAGGCAAACTCCATTTGGTCATAATGTATTTTTCTGTGCTATTGGACTTTACAGTCACACACCTTTAAATGACAGGAATAATATTCTGAGAAATAAGTCGTTAGGCGATTTCATCACAGTGTAACATCATGGTGCACTTACACAAACCTAGATGGTCTAGCCTTCTGCACACCTGGGCTGTATGGTACAACCTGTTACTCCTGGGCTATAAGCCTGTACAACATATTACAGTACTGAATACTTTAGGCAATTGTATCTAAACATAGAAAAGGTATGGTAAAAATATGGTATAAAAGAGGAAAACAATGGCACACCTGTATAGGGCACTTACCGTGANCTTCTTCAGGTGCTCGTGAACACTTGAATGATGGATGTTCAATGTTCCCGCAATCTCTTGTGTCGTGTAACGTGGGTTTGACTCGATCAATGTCTTTATTTTATCATCATCGACCTCGGTGAGCCTCCCTGACCGAGGAGCATCGTTGAGATCAAAATCACCAGCACGGAATTTCATGAATTATTGTTGGCACTGACGTTCTTGTAGAGCATTGTCACTGTAAGCTTTATGCAACTTTTCACAAGCTTGATGTGCGTTCTTCCCTTTATGGAAGTAAAACAGTCAAGAATGGCAAAAATGCACAGGTTGGTCTTCCATCTTCAACTTGTTGTAAAATGCAAGATCAAGATGCTGGGTGGGGCAAGCCGAGTAGCTCAGTTGGTTAAGAGCATGAGCTCTGAGCAATAGGATTGCTGGTTTGATTCCCACATGGGCCAGTGAGCTGTGCCTGAGCTGAGCTGCTGCTGAGCTGCCAACAGACGGCAGGATGGCTCAGCTGGTGAGAGCACATGCTCCTAACAACAAGGATGCTGGTTTGACTCTCACATGGGATGATTGAACTAAGATTGAACACTGCACCTTGAGTTGAGTGGCCACGAGCTACCAATGGGTGGCCAGATGGCAACTGGAATTGGAGCTGAGTTAGTTGTGTCCTCCACAACTAAGACTGAAGGACAACAACTTGTCTGTTCCCCTTCCCCCAATTCCCCATTACTGTTCCCATCCCCCCAATTCCCCAATTTAAAAAATCTTTTAAAAAAAAGAAAAAGAGTTAAATGAGGGTGGGGCCAAGGGTCTCTAGCTTCATGGACTAAAAGCCCCGAATTGGCTGACACATCGCTTTTATTTCTCCACCTACCCGGAAGTAGCATTGTTCTCTCCACAGTCTGTGAGTCTCATTCCTGAGAACTTGCTCAAGCCAGATTACCCATGCCTGCAAGCTGCTATTACNAGTGGCTCAGTTGGTTAAGAGCTCGCTCAAGAGTTTGAGCTCTGAGCAACAGCGGTTCGAGTCCCAGCCCAAGCTGAGCATCCGCTGAGCTACCAACAGGTGGCAGGATGGCTCAGATAAAAAAAAAAGAAAGAAAGACCAACCATATGATTAGAAGTTTGAAACTTTGTGCCAGACAGACCTGTGGAGAGGGGAGAGGGGCTAGAGATTGAGTTGAGTTGTGGCCATGATCTAATAAGTCATGCCTGTGTAATGAGATTCCCATCAAAATTCTGGACACAAAGGCGTGATGGAGCTTCCTGGCAGGTGAACACATTGATGTGCAGGAGGACAATGTGCCCCGATTCCTCCGGGAGAGGTCATGTAAGCTGCACATCCGGGACTCCCCCAGACCTTGTCCTGTGCATCCTTTCCATTTGGCAGTTCCTGAATTGTATTCTTTATAACAAAACTGGACTCCTAGGAGTTCTGTGAGTTAGTTTAGCACACTATTGAACCTGAGGGAATTATGGGAACCCCTAAAATGATAGCCATTTTGTCAGAAGTGCAGGTGACCCTGAGACTAGCAACTGACATCTGAAATGAGGACTTTATGGAGGACTGAGTCCTTAAATCTGATGCTAACTCAGGCTAGTTGGTATCAAAGAATTGATGTCAGAACCAATTTCCTTAAGTTGATATTGGCCAGCTATTACAAACCTAAAACTAGCATTACATTTAATGGTGAAAGTCTGAATGCTTTCCCCTTAATACTAGGAATAAAGAAGGATGTCCACTCAAAATTGAAGGTCTATCCACTTAAAATTAAAGGAAACAAATGGTGTACAAATTGTAAAGAATGACAGATAACATCTTGAAAATCCTTATCTACTTAAAAAGCTAATCTAATAAGTTAGGTTAGCCCAGGTCTCAGGATAAAAGATCAATATAAATGAATGTTTGGAAATGGAAAAACTATACCCCTTACAATAGCATCAAGATATGAAATATGGAGGGCCAGATGGCTCAGTTGGTTAGAGTGCATGCTCTTAACAACAAGGTTGCCAGTTTGATTCCCTCATGGGGTGGTGGGCTGCACATCCCCTTCGCAACTAAATTGAAAAGCGGTGACTGGACTTGGAGCTGAGCTTGCACCCTCTACAACTAAGATTAAACGACAACAATTTGACCTGGAGCTGATGGGTCCTGGAAAAACACAGCGTTCCCCTTCCCCAATTCCCCAATAAAATCTTAAAAATATATATTGGGTTGTCAGAAAAGTCATGACATATTTTTCTNAGTACCAACTCCTCATTAGTCAGCCCCTCAGGAACCACCTCTAGGGGCTTCCCAATGTCACCCTCGTCCACACCCAGGTTAAAATCATTTGCCATCTCAACCACAGCCTTGTTGATTTTTGCAGTAAAAAAATCCTTTGACGTCATGGACAAACCTCTTCAGTGTCTTCTTCCAGATACCGTTCATACACTCTGAAGTGACGTCACTCCCACTCCAAGCAAGGTTCTTGATGCAGTCATAGATGTTGTAATCCTTTTAGAATTGCATCAGTGTCTTCCTTAATTGCAACAATAGCCTGGGATAAGGTCCTCCTTAGGTAGTAGGCCTTACATGTATAACAAATACATAAACCAGTAACAGTTGTTTATTATAAAGTATTATGTACTATACATAATTATATGTGCTCTACTTTTATATGAGTGACAGTGCAGTGGGTTTGTTTACACCAACATTACCACAGACACATGAGTAATGTGTTGTGCTATGACATTACGATGCCTACAATATCACTAGGTGATAGGAATTTTTCACCTGCATTGAACAGAGGGTGCCAACAAAATGTATACACATTTTAAGAAAGGAAAAAACTATTAAAATTGTAATAATATAAACCGATAACAAAAAGTGAATGCAAGTTGTGTATACATTTTTTTTTTGGCACACCCAGTATATAGGACTACTGTGGTCAGTTGTTGATAGAAGTGTTACGTGGCACGTGACTATTTGCTTTTTTTTTTTTTTAAGATTTTTTTCATCTGCTTATGAGAGATGCTAGTCTCTAATTTTCCTTAATGCCTGAGTTTGGTCGGTATCAATATAATGCTGGATTTACAGAATAAGTTAAGTATTCCCTGCTCTTGAATTTTCTGGAAGAGTTTGAGAAGAAGTGGTATTGTTTCTTAATTGTTTGGTAGAATTTACCAGTGAAATATCAGCCTGGAGTTTATTTTATGGGAAGGTTTCTAACTACAAATTCAATTTCCATAGTGGATATAGATCTATAGGTTTTTTCTTTCTTCCCCCTAGAGTGAACTTTGGTAGTTCTTGTCCTTCAAGGAGTTTGTTAATTTTAAGCAGTCTAATTTTTCAAACTATTCTCCTATTATTTTAGTGCCTGTAGAATATTTCTTTTATCCTTGATCAGTTTTCTTGATCAGAGGTTTATTAATTTTACTAATCTTCTTAAAATACTTAGTTTCACTGATTTTTCTGGTTTTTTGGTTTTTATTGGATTTCATTTCTCTTTTGCTACTTTTTTTACTTGAGAGCTAAGATCCTTCATTTGAAACCTTTGGTTTTTTTCCTAATGTAGGTGATTAGTACCAAAAATTGTCCTCATAAGAACTGCTTTAATTGCTTGATATGTTGTATTTTTATTTTAATCTAAAATCTTTCCAATTTCCTTTTAAATTTCTTCTTTGATACGTGGCTCTTTGTAGAAGTGTTATTTCCATATATTTGGGGGTTTTCCTTTCTGGTAATTGATTTCTAATTGGATTCCATTGCAATCAGAGTACATACTTGTCACGTCCTGCGTGGCAAGGGCAGTGAGAAACAAGAGGGGTGACGCAGAGTTAAAGAGCACAAGAGACAGAGATAAGGCTAAAGCGGGACTAGGGGGCATCAGCCTCGTGGACTGAGCATCGAATCGGGTCGTCGCATGGCTTTTATTGAGAAAATTTCAAGGACGTGAAACTGAATTACTCAAAGATCCATGTGTCACGTGCCTTAAGGCTGTTTTCCATTAACCAGCTCTCATTGTATTCCAACATGTACTATGCCTTCATACATCCTGCACAACCCCCAGGACAGCGTTACTATACCGCATCCTATTGAATTAAGGGAGATGACCAATATCATTCCAACAGGTCTCATCATTCTGAGACACTCACTAGAGGATGCTTTACCGATATCATTCCTTCGGGTCTCAGCATTCCGAGACACTTCCTCAGGACCTCGTTAGGTCGGGTTAGTGGAAGGGCGGTCATGGATGTAGCTGTAAGGCAGCACA